GTAACAGATATGCAGACAGATCCAACCACGGATCTTGCAGTGGCCCATAAACTGGCTCCAGTCCTTCTTGACAGGGGTCTGGAAACCCTGGATGATGCTATCTTAGACAACAACAGATGAGAGAGGAGAGAACCTCTGTGCAAGTCCAGGTTTCCAGAGGACAAGTTCCTATCACATTGTTGCAGGAAAAAAAAATACGAGTTTTGACACCCTGGAAAGGAGTACTGAATGGTGAGCTGCATGACTGGGGGGTGCAAAGGGGTGGAGAAGAGTAGCAAGACAGGACTCCGGAGGGCACCAAGGGGACATAGATACCATTCACTTCTTTTGGACTCCACCGAAATACATAAAAAACTTTTACAAATCAATCACAAAAAGACAAAAGAACCCAAAATAGGTAGAGGATTTAAAATGGCAGTTTGCACAGGAAAAAACTTAAATAGCTAATAAACACAGGAAATATATTCAATACCATTTGTAATCAGAGAAAGACAATCAAAACAAAAAAAAACATTTCACAACTCTTAAACTGACAGTTGTTGGGGCCCCTGGGTAGTTCAGTGGTTGAGCATCTGCATTTGTTCAGGGCGTGATCCTGGATCCCGGGTCAGGGGATGGAGTCCCACATCGGGCTGCCTGCACGGAGTCTGCTTCTCCCTCTGCCTGTCTCTCTCTGTGTCTCTCATGAATAAATAAATAAAATCTTGGGGGGAAAAAACCGAAAACAAACAAACAAAAAACCCTAACAATTGTTAGTGTGACAAAACTAGGATTTAGCAAGAAGTAATCAAAGAATTCATTTCATGCAGGTGCAAGTACAAACTGGCACAGTCACTTTGGAAATCAATTTGGCAATAGTTGGTAAAGATGAGGGAACATAATGTAGAAGCCAGAAATTCCACTTGAGTTGTCTACCCTAGAAGTACTTGTATACACAGGAAAAAGGACATTCATTGATGCAATGTTTGCAATTAAAAAAGTACTACAGAAACAATTTTAAGTGTCCCTCAGCAAGGAATGAGAATAATACAGAGCAGGGACGCCTGAGGTAGTTCAGTGGTTGAGCATCTGCCTTCGGCTCAGGGCATGATTCCGGGGTTTGGAGTCAAGTCCCGCATTGGGATCCCTGCAGGGTGCCTGCTTCTCCTCTGCCTATGTCCCTGCCTCTCTCTCCATGTGTCTCATGAATAAATAAATAAAATATTAAAAAAAAGAAGAAGAAGAATTCAAAGCAGTTGAACAATTAGGCCCTTATTTACCAACACTAATAACTCACAAAAGCTATGTTTTTTTTATTAAAAAATAATAAACAAGCTGTAAAGTATATGCAGAGTAGAACACAATTTATATAAATTTTAGGCATATATTACAATGGCATATTTTGTTTATAGATGTTTGTCGAAATAAATGTACAAGAATGAGAATGATTCACAGCAGTTTCAAGATAGGTTTCCTTGGGGAAAAGGAAGAGAGTAGTAGCACACTGAGCAACCTGTAGCAATTACAGCAAAATGTTAGTAGCATCTGCTTAATCTGACAGTTATGTTCTTCTCTATACCTTACCATAGAATTGAGATGTTTCACAATTTAAATAAGTGTTTTCAAAGATAGAAATTACAGACAGCATAGACATTTTTCAAGAACTAGAACAGTTACAAGAGTATGTGAAGGATAAAGTGGTTGTTTTTTTCTTAATATGATAGATACTGGAGTCTATTTGCTGATGGGAATGATGCACATGGGTGAAACAGATAAATCAAAAATGAGAGAAAGGTGGGATCCCTGGGTGGCGCAGCGGTTTAACGCCTGCCTTTGGCCCAGGGCGCGATCCTGGAGACCCCGGATTGAATCCCACATCGGGCTCCCGGTGCATGGAGCCTGCTTCTCCCTCTGCCTGTGTCTCTGCCTCTTTCTCTCTCTGTGTGTGTGACTATCATAAATAAATAAAAATTAAAAAAAAAAAGTTTTAAAAAAAAATGAGAGAAAGGAGATATCAAAAGGAGCAGTTTCAAAAGGAAAGATGAACGTAACAGCAGAATTTGCTAAAAACGGGTGGCACGATGTGCTCTGATTTTCGACTATATAACATTCAAGATGTGCTTTGATTTTCAACTATATAACATTCAGGAAAGTACAGTGACATCAGTGAACTAAGAAACTTCGAAAGTTTGTCTCTCCACCAAAGTAATGAAAAAACTGGCATTAAGTGTCAACTTCTTCAGAACTCTGGAAATTAAGAAAAGCTATCAGCAATCCAAGGAACAGTCAAAAAGAACAATGAGCTTCATTAAGAACAGAGAACTTTGTGGTACTTTAACATTTCAATCCTAGCCTCTCTACTCCCCAGCAGCCTTGAAAAAATGTTTGTATTCCTGGTACTAGCATCACCAGCTAGACCCCAAGACCTAACTAACCTCCTACTGCCCACTCACTAACCTCTGTCCCACATTTCTTCCTTAAGCTCTTCTTTCCAGCTATCTCTTAACTCCCGCAAATGGAAGCCAAAAAAGCACCCCTCAAGGGATAGCAATGGCCCTCACAAGACCTCCAGCTAGCCCAGGCCATCCACACCAGTTTGATTCCAAGCCCCAAAGTGCACCTGTACAGACGGACCATGGAGTAACCTCTATAATGACTGACAATTACCTTGACTCACTATAACACTAAAATCTCTGCCCAAGGAGGAGCACAGGTCTCATCTACATAACATACAATGTATGTACAGGCATGTTTCCTTTTTCTTAAGGCGAGTGTGCAAACCCATGCCCGCCTCTACATGTGATGGCAAGAATCCCTTTTTAAAATATTCATCTTAACCCTAAATAAAAGGAATCCATCCACCCTTGCTCAGGGAGTCACAGCTTTGCAAGTTATTCCCCATGACCTCCTCACTTGCTGCAAATAACATTTACTTTGTAAAACAACTCCACTGGGGTACCTGTGACCCACCAAGGAGTGAACTCACAATGGTTCGGTTACACCAGTACCTGGAGTGAGCAGAACAGGGAGAGGGTTCTCTCAAAGCCTCAGTCCAAAAGAGAAGTCATTATTTGACCTGCCTGGTGGTTCCCAACAAGACTCCACTCGAAAGGCTTATCTATGGAACCTCACCTAAACTCATGAAAATCTTCTCCCTGGGGGCCTATTTGTGAAATATTTTAATACCACAGCTCCTTGAGAGAATAGATGACAGTTGGGTCAAACAGGAGACAAATCAAAAAGCTGAAAAGTGGAAGCTGAAGAAAAGATATCCATGGGGCCTGAAAAGCTCCGACAGATCCCTGGGGATCTAGAAGGCCCTTCACCAGCATAGGGTGGTGTGCACGTGTTCAACAAAGACCTCGGAAGGCCCTAAGCTCTTAGTCTGACTGACCTTGAGGTTCTGGGCAAGCAAAAAGCAAAGCTCTAGTAAGCTGCGGGGCAGAGTGCTGAGTGTCCACACACACACACACACACACACACACACACACACACACACAGAGCTCCTCAACAAAGATCAGGCTTACTGGTTCTAGGCATTTAAGAAGTTTCTGTCCAATCATTTACTGACCAGTAACTAACTGAGCAGAGACCTCAGTGGCCATACATGACAAAGACACAGACTTTACAGAATTAGTTTAAAAATGGTACAAATAACAACAAACCCCAAGAGAATCTAATATAAGAACTATCACTTCAGGGGCTTCTGGGTGGCTCAGTTGGTTAAGCATCTGCTTTTGGCTCAGGTCATGCTCTCATGTCCTGGGATCGAGCCCCACCTTGGGAATCCCTGCTCAGTGGGGGGCCTGCTTCTTCCAATCCCTCCCCTTCAGTGCTCTCTCTCCCCCTCTAATAAATAAAATCTTAAAACAAACAAAAACTATTACCCCATAGAATCTGAATAGTCCAGTTTTCAACAAAAAAATTATAAGACATGCAAAGGAACAAAGTGTAACTCATTCAGGATGGGGGAACAATGAACAGAAACGGTCCCTGAGGAGGCCCAGACATTGGACTGACTAGACAAAGACTTTATATCAGCTATGTTAAATTTATACAAGGAGCATGTATGAGGACAATGTATCAAATAGAGAATTATCAATAAAGATAAATAAATACATGTGTCATATTTCACAAGAAATACTATGTCCAAGAAGATAACAACTACAACGTAAAACTTACTGTGTTGCTTTGACTATGTCCCATGTGCTGTAATCATCAATATGAGTTTTCCGTCCAAGAGGTTCACCATATCCATGGTTATAATGGCTTTGGGGTTTGATTTCCTGTTAAAGAGTAAATCACACAAAGGCAAAAGTTAAGAAGAAAGGTACAGAAAACATTTCAATATTTTACTAACACTTTTGCACTGTCTGAAAAATGTTCACTATTGAAATGATTAGTTTTATCTTATTCTAAAGATGCAGAGAAAAAGCATGTTTAATAGATCTACCCCTTGTGCATACTCTTAAAACAGAAAGCTGTGAACCTAGAAGTTAGTGACAAATTTGCAACTGAAACTCCCCTTTATCTCCATAGAACTCTTACTTCATCAAATCAATTCTCATTCTCTCAGACCATTTTTTTTTATTCCAGCATAACCGCTGCCTCTAACACTCTTTTTTAATTTAGAATTTGAGTACAGGTGACATGCAACAAACATTACACTAGTTTCAGGTATACAACACAGCCATTCAACAACACTCTAACACCTAACACTTTACTTTAAAACTTCATCACATGCCAAATAAACTCTAAAGTGGTAAAGAAACAAACCAATGGAAATTATTCTTCTATTATTTTTGGATACTATCTTTCCTTAAACTCCTTTACGCTGAGGGCTTGTTAAACATCTACCATTAAGTGAGTAAGGAACAACGGGTCAGTTCTAATAAAATAGAAGTCTGCTTAAATACTTCTAAATAGGTCAACACTCTTAATTTTAAGCAGTTTTACAGAATATAACAACCATTCAAAGCTTGTATGCTATACATAATTTTCTACTTAAAATACAAAATTTGAGCTTTGCGCAGGGGCAGTATCGTAGCCAATGAGGTTTATCGGAGGCACGATTATTGCTAATTGAAAATACAAAATTTGTTATGCGTAGCTCCTCAATATAACACAGCACTAAGATACAATTATCTTTTATATGACAACAGAAAACTGAACATGTTTGGCCTGCTATCCATAAAGCACAATATGGTGTACTGCATCCTCAAGTCAGGATATGATAAAACCAACATTAAGTTTAAGAGGTTGCCAAAAAATTCAGTAATTAGATAAAAAGTGCCCAAGTGTCCATCGATAGATGAATGGGTAAAGAAGACGTGGTATGGAATATCAGTCATAAAAAAGAATGAAATCTTGCCATTTGAAGCAACATGGATGGATATACGGTATATTACTAAGCAAAATAAGTCAGAGAAAGACAAATATCATATGATTTCACTCATATGTATAATTTAAGAAACAAAGAAAAAGAGACAAACCAAAAAAACAGACTGTTACCTATACAGAAAAACAGATGGCTGGAGGAAGCAATGGGTGAAATAGATAAAGGGATTAAAAAGTACACTTATCACGATGACCAGTGAGTAATGTATAGAGTTGCTGAATCACTATATTGTATACCTGAAACTAATATAATATATGTTAACATATATACAGGAATTTTAAAATACATATTTTAATAGATTATGTTTTAAAAATCAAAGCCAATGTAAGAAAAAAAATTCCCAAACATCAACCTTTTAAATATAGACAGCAACAGTATTGCTGATTTTTCCTTTTGCACCAGGCTTCACTGTGGTCCGGACAGTCACTTGCCCTCAAGAATTTTACAATCCAGAGTGGAAGGACAAAGTAGGTAAGAAACCTAAGTCAAATACTGGAAGCAAGAACCTCGCAATAAGAAATTAAAACCTAAATAAAGACAATGTAAGATCTAAAAAGTAATAACTTTAAAACCTATTTCAATATGAAAATCTGTTAAGGCAAATTGCTATTCTTATTTACTTTTACAGGCAAAAATAATATTCACAAAATAAAAAATAAATCTCTTTTTAAGGCTTACTCTCCTAATGCTTCCAGGGACTTTAATTCCATTTTTATCCCCAGAAACTTCATTTATTATACAAAATGATTAAATCATACTCTTAGTTTCTCCACAGAAACTGCAAAATGTTCTAGAAATCACTTTTTCCTTCCAGTTACATTTTTTATATTAAATCTGTTTTATCCATCTACAAGGTTTTTGTTTTTACTTTTTAATAAAAGAAACTTGATTTTTAAAAGATAACTTAAAAATATCCCTGCCAGAGAGGTAAAGTTATTCCCACTAAAAGGCAGAAGTAATGATGTTAAGGTGAATCTCCAACCTGTTTCATTTCCAAAAAAACAAGTTTTGTAATATGGATTTCTAATTATTTTTCTCACTTTTAGCCTGGAAACTGAACTGTAGAACTAGTACCTCATCACTGTGACAAATGACAACACTATCAAGATAATCACTACTAATCACTAGGCCTAGGAATAAACAATTATAATTTTTTAATTTCAAAAAACACAAAAAATATACTGTGTTCATGTCAATAAGTGTATCTTCAATAAACGTACAATTTTTAGTTACAAATTTGCTATTACATATCAGATACATTTTCAACACATATTTAATTATACTTTTAAATTGTATAATTTTATTTAAATGGGGACCAAGAAGCAATTTAATTGATACTTGCCAAAAAATTAGTATTACTTTAAAAATACATATGTAGACCACTGTAACTTTTAAGAATGTGGTAAATCCATTAGAAGCAGCTTGGTGCAACAGAAAAAGTCTTTGACTGAGAGGCTCCTGAATTCAAAGTCTGCCACTTTCTTATCTAGGCTACACCCAGTGAGGCAATTCACTACTATAGGATTCAGGTCCTTCATCTGTAAGAAGAGAAGGATGAATAAGATAAGGACACAGATCCTCTGAAGTGCCTCAAGGACCAACAACAGGGTGTCAAGAGCTCCAAGGCTTAAGCTCCACTCTCAATTCATTCACTTCTTAAACAAAGCCCTTTGTTACTTACCCTTTCTTTAGATACTGAGGTTTTATATAAGATTCCTTTAATGGGGGGGGGGGGGGGCAAGATGCAGCTGTTTTAAAAGGTTCAAAAAACTACTAGATTACAAATCCTCCAAAATGCCTTCTAAGATTAACATAAAACGATTTTCTATACTAAAGAAATGGCAGCCATAGGAAGATCCTTAAAGCAGCTAGTTAACAGCCAAAGTTTTGTTTTGTTTTTAAAGTAGGCTCCGCCTCAACATGGAGCCCAAGGCAGGGCTTGATCTCCTAACCTTGAGATCAAGACCTGAACGGAGATCAAGAGTCAGATGCTTGCAATGGACTGAGCCACCCAGGCGTCCCAACAACCAAAGGTTTTTACACCTCAATAGTTGAAGAGAACTGAAGGAAGGAAGAAGACACCTCCAAACTCTAATGCTGAAGTAACAGATGAGAATGAGAAGAGCTGGGATCCCGAGCAGCTGCAGGCTGCTGCAGTCACACAGCAGGTGGACGGCAGGTGGACACAAACGCTGGCTTGTACATCAAGATGGTAGATGTCATAAACATGTTTATTCAAATGCCCGGGTGGAATATAACCAATCAACTAGTTACCAGGTGTCTGTGTGCAATCTAGTTAACTTTTTTAGAATGCTAGACCTATTAAATCTTTAGCTTACATTCATTTTTATTTTAAAAAAGAGGGAAGCAGCACTAACCAAAGAATCCTCTACGGCCCAGAGCTTATGTCTATTAACAACTAAATACAAATGTCTTATAAGTGCTCTAGCAGAAAAGGTTCTCTAAAAATTAATTTGATAGTAGAGTATATTTGAAAGAATAAATGTGCAAAGAGTAAATTAGGAATATTCAGGAAAAAAGAGTAAGGGAAGAGATTTGCCCTACCACTGACTACATTAGGAAGGAAACAAAAGCAAAAATAGGAATGATGCAGTAAAAAACAGGGCAATGGAAGAGAGCTTGAAGAATGAGAATTAGAATCGGGGGGGGGGGGGGGCACCTGGGTGGCTCAGTGGTTAAGCATCTGCCTTTGGCTCAGGTGGCGATCTGGGGTCCTGGGATCAAGCCCCTCATAGGGCTCCCTGCAGGGATCCTGCTTTTCCCTCTGCCTGTCTCTACCTCTTTGTCTCTCATGAATAAATAAATTAAAAAAAAAAAGAATCAGGAGGGAAAGATGTATTATTCAATATATGGTATAAATGAACAATTGCTAGCCATTTGATTAAAAAAAATTAGCAATCTCCAACATAAAGACTGATTGATATGCTTGATAGAAAGATGCTAACAAAATATAGCCAAGGATATAGTTTCCTTAATGGTAGCTAATACTGAAATGCACCTGAAAGTAAACATGGTCACACACAACAGAATTCAGGGCAAACTAATGGAGGCTTCCCAGGTCAGCCCACACTCCGCCTAAGAACATACAGATGCCTATGAGAGAGAAGGATGGGGTTCTCCTGGTGAGAGAAGGATGCATCTTCCTGTTCTTAGGAGTGTGCACCCCTCCTGACTGTTCCAGAAATTCTGGCCATATACCAAGTCTAAGTAACTTGTTCAAAAAGCTAATTTAGGACTTTCTTCAATGTTTACTACAGGACAAGGTAAATTGCAGGTCAATTTCCCAGGCATCCCTGAGATGTGACTACCTCCTGGCAGGACCAGACTCCAGCCTACCTATTCTCACCTCTTCATTTCAGAGAACTTCCAGCCAGACCAAAGGCTTAAATATAAGAATACTGGCAATAACAGCCCTAGTGCACATAAAACAAAACAAAGTTCTGAGAAAAGCATGAATAACACCACATTTGACAAAATGGGCAAAGACTATGAAGATAATTCAAAGAGGACAAAACATAATTGCCAGAGAGAAAGAGAGAGAGCCATGTGCACATGCAAAAGAGATGAAAAAGACACCATAATTCCAAATTAATTAAGTAAATGTATTTCCAATCCTCCCCCACCAAAGAGGGAGAAATCAACATTCTAGGGGACATACATGTTACCTACAAGGCACATGTTACCTGCCTATCTTTGATGCTCAGCCCACATACACATTGATTTAGCAAGCCAGGATTCAACTAAATGCTTATGATCTGCCCCGTGTAAATGTATGCTGTCAGGTATCATTCTAATAGGACAGAGTCTGAATCAAGAAGCTAAATGTACTTAATTACATACTTTGAGTCACTCAAATTTAATTTCATTAAATGGATGAGATAAAATTAGAGCACCATAAAGGGTTACTGACAAGAAGAAAGGAAAAAAGGTCTATGCATACATGACTTATTTTAAGTCCCAGCTAAAACTGACAAGCCAAATGTGAGACCTTCTTAAAACCAGAAGTAGTGATGAATTAAATTCTAGGCATACCATAGGATTTTTTAAAAAGGAACATCAATTAAACATAACAAAAAGAATATATAAGCATACAACAAATATAACCAAGGGAACAATGCATAAGGAAAAGCAGTAGCCATTACAAGATCATGATTTTAAAATGTATTTAGTTAACAGTGCCAGCAGATGGCACTACACTCAATTCAACAGAATTCTAACTTTTTTTGATGCTCTCTTCAAGGGAAGATTAGACAAAAGTGATTTGATTATAAAATGTAAAGATTTCAAATCAATTTTTTCAGTAAGCAACACATCCCATATATTACATACTCTGCTATGGTCCTGGATCCCTGCCGAACGCTACATGATTATTGCTTCTAATAAGAGTCCGACTTGACTCACAAGTTCTCTCCATACTGTGGTAGTACCACCACTGCCTCCATCCAAACTCAAATTAATCTTGCTTGCTTCCAACAAACTTTACCACCACCTTGTAGCTTCTTTAAAAGCTGGTTTTCACTTCATTTCCTTCTAGAATTAATCTACATCTATACAAATATTTGTAACAATATACATTAATTTGGCATACTTTTTTTCTTTCCACAGGTGATGAACAAATGCCTCTATGTACATCCCCCACCCCCGCCATCTCCTCAAAAATAAAATTTTTAGGATTTTTATTTAGGATAGTATAAGATTTACAAAAAACAATGCAGAGTACTCACATACTGCACACCC